AAAGACGCCGAAGCACTTCGTACAGCATCTAAGCCGACCCCATCGGCGCATCCTGGCGCCCAGCTGGTAACTGTTTCTGAAGAAGAAACAAGACTCGTCGGGTTTCGATGAACAGCCAGTTCAGAGAGCAATTTCTGTTGCCCTGGGGGCGCTTCGGGCCTGATTTCTGGCTTTTGGGGTATAACCGGTTTTCCAGGTTTGCTTGCTTCAGCGATAAACCCAACAGCTGATTTCAAGGGCGTCGAGATCGTAAGTGCGATTCCCGGCTTACTTACTTCTTTGCAACTGTATGCACGAGTGGACCATACGGGCTGTGGCAGTTGGCAGGTGGATGATGAACCAGTATCACTTTCTTCGCCATCATCATCATCTTCTTCTTCTTCTGAGGAATCGGAATCTGATGATTCATTGGCATTTTTCGCTTCTTTTCCGGCAATCGGAACCTTCATGGGTGCTGGCGGCCGATCTACGACTTCATTCGTTGAGCTGGGAGCGGAAGGCAAATTAACAGGTGGCTGGTTGACAATTGGGACCTGTTGAGTAGCAGTTGGATCGGTGACAGCGGGCTGGCAGGCACCTTGTAAAAAAGATTTCGGTGCACCTTCCGAGATGGCGCCGATGTTCAGTGACATGCCGGTGACAGGAACTTTAGTAAAGCTGATTGGTGATCTGCTAAAAGCCATCGAAGAAGATGGCCCGCCAAAGCAGGCCTGTCTGGGAGAGCTTTTGCCAGCAAGGTCAAAGCCATGCTGCATACGAGCCTCTTTAAAAGGACCATCAAACAAGTGAATGACAGTACGTAATTAGACTAGTTCCGAATAGTATAGATGATATCCTCGTAAATAGGAGCTGGTCACCAACTGTCTCAAAACTAGCCATCAGTTAAATAGACCGGCACATATTTGCGACCATATTTAAGAGTCAAGTTGATTATGTCTAGTGATATTGAATGTGATAAGCGTAAATTCCTATCTTATAAAATATTTCCTGCTTGAAGTAATACATTAGAACGGCATAGATATCAGATGAGCGTCTAAGGATCTAGTCTCACGATATGAACCTCCGTAAAACGTAATGACGAAGATGTGAAAAATATAGTAGCTTCTTTTTTCGTTTAGAAGTAGATTTTTGAGACTACCAATAGATCAAATATGAGACGTATTATTTCTATTTCGTTAAAGTGAGGAAGGACTGATGGTTCAATTTTCTTACAATCATATAAGTAGGCCTCACATTTCCATTTAAATTCAAAGTCTTGATATTCTGTTGGTAGTCTCTAAAACGTACTTATGAACGAAAAATAAGTCATGTACAATTTTGCTTTGTCGACAATCCCACCAGAGAATGTAAAATGGGAAAATGCCTGTCCCTGCTTTAAATTCACATCTTCCCCGCGACCAACGGGCACTAGTGGAAGTGTGGCGTAGAGGCAATGTGTCGAGATTACACGATGCACTATAATAGTTAAAGTCCCGCAGGGAACCTGTTCATGTCAGTGTGGTAAAATCCAATTACTAGTCCTTCATTACATCATACTGTTTTCTTAGGTGAATGTCATAAAAAAGTCCACCACTGATCAGGACAACACGATTGTCATACTGTGGCAGGCTTCTACCTTTTTCACATACATGAGAAAGAGGCCGACACGGCCTCGAAATTATGTCTGACTATTCTAACAAGTACCCAGTATAGGCTTTTCTATGTGATGAATAACCTCATGATGCTGAAGATTGATTCGTTGAAAAGCCAGTCAGAAATGTAGAGATAAACTTCATATCTAAGAGTTGCATCAAAAACTCAAAGTACTGAAAGCCTGGATTCCTCTTTCGCTGAGAAAGAGGCCTATCCATTTTATGAAAGCTGATCAGCCCAAGTAAGTGGTATCCTGATAAACAATAAAAGGGATCCCCTGCAAGAAAAATTAAACAGTCACAGGAATTTTGATGGAAATAGTGCCAAGCCTTTAAGAGAGTGAGTGTAGGGTCCATAAATCAAAAAAATTAGGGGGATTAGGCAACTAAGGTATTTCTTATTTAACAGTGAAATCATCCTCTAACAAAGATGCCCATGCTTATAAATAATGTTTTAGAGCTTGTAAGGGAGTCGTCTCTTTATTATCACATACTCTAAGAGTGGAAATCACAGCAACTACGAGAATAAGAGACATCTACGTCATAACGGACCAGCTTGATCTGTATCATCAACATTTTAGGCTTCACACCTGAATCAAGGTCTAGTTACTCATTCAAATGCTTAGTATTCGATCAGAGACGTTCATATTACATATTCTGAGCCTAATACCAGCAGTGTCGGCCTTATTCTAACCTTAAATTTACAAGAGCATAATTAAGTCGAATTGATGAGGAATATGAAATATTAACGTTCCATCTAGCAAGTATTAGTGTAAAGGATGCAAAAAACGTGACAAGCACGAAGTAGAATGGAAGCTTATATTCCCCAAATCAGAACCTTAGATAAAATAGCG